AACACATTGTTGATATCCTTGTTATAGAATATCCTTGTCATATTGGGGAGGGAACAAGTTTGCTTTCTGCCGCCCCAGAAACTAGGACCTGGAACAATGGGTGCAAGCTCCAGGAAAAGAGATTCCACCTCAATATTAGGAGGAACTTCCTGACAGAGAGAGCTGTTCGACAGTGGAAGACACTCCCTCAGAGAGTAGTGGAGTCTCCTTCCTTGGAGGTCTTTAAGCAGAGGCTGGATGGCCATCTGTCAGGGATGCTTTGATTGGGAGTTCCTGCATGGCAGGGGGTTGGACTGGATGGCCCTTGTGGTCTCTTCCAATTCTATGATTCTATGATTCTATGAATATATTACTTTTACAATTATCTAACTTCTTTCTATTTTCCTGTTTATACCCAGTTAGGTACAATACCCTTTTTTGTTGTTGAAGGTAGTCCTGATGATAGAGGGGCCAGTCTCTGGTTCTGGTGTGAACTGACCTGAGAACATCAAGACAGTTCCTCACTGAACCCACCATATTCCCCCCCTCAATTTTTTTAAAAGTCATTTTTTGCTTCAGTTCTTTTGGAGACCTCTGGATTGATGGTGGACATCTCTTTACAATGCATCTTGTTGTGCCACCTGCCACTGCCACCACAAGTTGCTCCCTGTCAGGTCAGAATGAGATGTTCAGCCAAGTGACCAATGTCAGGAACACTCCTCAGAGGGAGTGACCTGCAGCAGTGGGGGTGTGGGAACAGTAGTACATGTGTGCAAACAGCTGCCTGCTGTTGCTCTAGTGAAGGGGTCGACAAGTTTTTCTTACCTATGGCTGGTCCGCTAACCTCCAGGTCTTCCACAGGACGGGGGGGGGGGAAATGGTGGAGCGTGCACTTATGCATGTGTACGCAGCCCCCGCCAACCCCCACTGCGGCTGCTTCTACTGCCACTGGACCCGCCGCCGCCACATGCGCTGCCACTGCACCGCTGCTGTGCGTGGCACGGCTGCCATTTTGTTTTCCAAAATGGCGGCCACGGCTCATTTGCGCATGCACAGGAGTACTGCGCATGCACAAATGAGTCGCAGCCACCATTTTAGAAAACAAAATGGCAGCTGTGACATGTGCAGCGGCGGGAGTGGCAGGGGGCCGGTCCAAAGGCCTCTGGGGGCCGGCCCCGGCCCGCAGGCCATAGGTTGCCAATCCCTGCTCTAGTGTCAGGTAATGGGAGGACATTAGGGCAGCTGGGGAGGCCCAGAATGCTCTGAGCTGCTCTTGGAGTATTCTGTCCCATGCAGACACCACTTAGAATGATTACCTGATTCAAGCTGCTGGCCCATGTTTGGGCTTCAACAAAACATTTTGCTCCCACCTTAAGAGTGTGCCACTTAGAGCCTTATTGCATGAGAAAAGAAAGCCAAAATGGAATAGGAGAGTACCAGCTTTTTTCCTGCATCTCCACATGCTGTAACAGCACTTCTGTTCTCCTCCCTGAGGGAGATGATTGTAAAAGTGTTTCTTTTGTCAAACAGATTTTTATAGCATGACAAAAGGCATGCTTTCATAGCCATTTCCTTCAAGATGACAGTGGAAGAGGTATGATGGCATGGATAAAGCCACTGCTGTCCCACTCCATTTCAGGTTTTTTTGCCCTCATGTGGCTCGATGGCCTGTGTGATCTCTTCCAACTTTATGATTCTATGACTCTATGATAAGGGTCTCAGTCTGTGTTTCTTTGAAGTGTGCTGTTATTGTTTTGCTAATTGCCATCAAATCGACTTATGGACTCTATGGATGAAATGTTAGATGGGAAGGATCATGAGAAATTATTATTGGAATGACGTCTCCATGGCTGATTGTGCTGGGGGAATTCAACATCCATGCAGAGACTGCTCTGTCAGGAGCGGTTCAGGACTTTGTCTGCCATGACAACCGTTGGGCTGTCCCAAAGTAGTATCTGGTGCCACCCATGTTGGTGGACACACTCTAGACCTGGTTTTCAGTGCAGGACATGCTGTTCATGATCTGGGTGTGGAGGAGCTCATGGACAGATTATTACCTTGTGAGGTTTAGACTCACTGGAACTCAAATCCTCTGCAGGGGTGGGGGGCTGATTAAGATGGACCGCCCAAGGAGGCTTATGGATCCAGATGGATTCTTGATGTCTCTTGGGGAGGTTCCTGTTGCATTGGCAGGTGATCCTGTTGAAGCATTGGCTGACCTCTGGAATAGGAAAATGGACAGGGCTGTGGACATGATTGCTCCTAAGTGTCTTCTCCCACAAAGTGGAACCAAGCAAGCATCCTGGTTCATTGGAAAGTCTATGGCATGGTAGTGGTGGCAGCAAAGAAATCCTTTGTGGCCACCACTGCATCCGCACAGTGTCATCCAGTGGAGCTGTTCTGAGTGGTCAGGGGCCTTTTGCATTCCTCCCCTCAAGAGCATTATTTAAACCACCCAGAAGCCCACTGTGAAGAGTCTGCACAACACTTTGCAGATAAAATTGCTTGGATCTGCTCCAGCTTGGATGCTGTAGTTGATATAGGCCTGGTGGGTGTAACTTTGGCACCTGCTTGTCCAGTGTTATTGGATACATTTCAATTTGTGCAACCTGAAGATGTGGACAGAATCTTTGGAGAGGTGAGAGCCATACTAGATCCATGCCTATCTTGGCTGTTGAAAGCAGCCAGAGGGGACTGGCTGACTGG